TGTATAATACAAAGTTACCTTTTTTTCGGGGGGCAGGTGATTTCTTTCTTTCTTTATTTTTGGAAGCCTGTCTGTGTGCTCAGAGTCAAGCTCTGGAGGACACTGCTTCTTTTTAAAAAAAATTTTTACTATTTTTTAATTGCCATTTTAACCATTTTTTAAGTGTACAATTCATTGGTGTTAATTGTATCCAGAATATTGTGCAACCTTCATCACTATTTCCAGAACATTTTCATTATTTCAAACAGAAACTCTGTACCTATTGAACAATTACTCCTATTTCTGCCCCCCTCCTCGTAACCTCTATTCTACTTTCTGTCTCTGTGATTTTGCCTAGGGTAGGTCCCTCATATAAGTGGAACACATCTTTTGTGTCTGGCTCAATAATATTCCATTGTAGGTATATACCATATTTTATTTATTCATTCATCTGTTCAATCAACACCAGGATTGTGTCCACCTTTTTGGCTATTGTGAATAATGCTATGAACACTGGTGCACATAATTCTGTTTGACTCCTGGCCTTCAGGTTTTTTATTATTAATTAATTAATTAATTATGAATTCTTAATCTCAGAAAACAAAAAAATTGTTGTATATAGATGTGGAGAGCGCTGCATTTAATTTAAACTTTAAATAAAAGAGTATAATACCAGTTTACTTTCTATCCTTAGAAAATTAAAGTTCTAGTTCAGTGTTAGATCAGATATATACTATGGGACATACAGTGTTCACACCAGGAGAATAGAACAAAGATCAAATAACCCATAGACTAGAAATATTGGCAATAATTTGCTTGGTTTTAAGACTCACACTTAAAAATAATCAGAGAGATGGTAAGGTCCTGCGGAAAGTATATAGACTTTGGAATCAGTCCGGGTATAAAAACCAGTTCTGCCACTCACTATGCAACAATGGAAAAAGTACTTTGGAGGCTCAGTGTCCTCATCAGGTAAAAGAGAACTCTTGTCTTGGAGAAGCATAATAGCATTTCATTATAACAATGCATATGTTAGGGTACCTGGGTGGCTCAATGCATTAAGCATCTGACTTTTTGCTTCAGCTCAGGTCATGATCATATGGGTTGTGGTACCCTCACATAGTGTTCTGTGGGGAATCTGCTTGAAGCTTCTCTCCTCTGGCCCCTCCCTCAACTTGCACATGTGCTCCCTCCCTCTCTTTACTAAATAAATCTTTGAAAAAAAATGCATATGTTAGGTCATGCACTTGCCACAGTTACACAAGTAGATGTACTCAATAATTAATAACTGTTATTAATAGCTTCTGAAATAGGTTCTGACAAGGCAGAGCTATCATGTCTGTGTAAGGGGTTATTGAAAAGGCATAAAAGTTTAAAATAATATATGATTAATATTTACTTACATCAATTAAAACATGAAAATAATTCCACAAACACTGATTGTTCATCTCCCACATGCCAACATATGCTAAGCTTCAGTGTTTTATGGCACTTACAGAAGTGCGGTGAGATAAGAAGAGTGGAACTCTCAGGGCATAAAACAGAACAATGGATACAGTTATCAGTGCTGGGGTACCGTATGGAACAAGTCTCCTTTACATAACCTAATGTACAAAGTGGCTTTATTTCTACAGTATACCATCTCTTCTTTTAAAGTAAGAAGGAAAATTTTTTAAAGGGTTAGTTCAAGTGAGAACCAGAGAATAGTCCTATCAATTCTGGGGGCAATAGGTCTTTTTTCTTTAATAATGATAGATGTACAAAGTTCTTATTCAAGTTTTTATATTTTCCACTGGTAATAGAGGGAAAAATGGAAAGAAGAGGAAGAGTAGGAGAGGAGAGAAGTGGAGTAGAGGAGAGAAAAGAGGGAAAATGATTCAGAGAAGCTGCGAGAGGAGGAACAGGAGAGAGGAGATGGAGAAGGGAAAGAAGGGAAGGGAATGGAACTACATCCCTGATTTTTATACTTATTACAATGGACATATAAATACTCCCCATCAACATACATATACATTTTCCTGAGAAAAAGTTATTAATGAAGGTGGGATAACTCTGCAGTTTACTTGATAGATATTTATTATGGTCTTTGCCTTTTTCAAATATAATTTGAACCATTTCTAAGCCATCAACTTTAAGTTTTCAGATTTGACTGAAAAATCTGATTGGTCTGTTCTCCAAGTTTTATTACAAAGAGATATTGATATTTCTTGAATATTTCTCTTCTTCATTTACAGGTAGGCACAACTGCAATGAAACTGCAACATAATGACTTACATGCAACTTAGTATCATCATTTCAAGTTTAAAATTTGCTTGGCACATAGTAATGTTATTCTTGCAATTATTACTATCATTAATTTATTAAACAAATGGGATAATGCCATTTTACAACATGGTACTCTTTGTGGCTGAGGAGACAGAATCAGTAGCTATGCTGTGAGCTAACATCCAGTATTTTGCCCGATTTTTATTGCCCAGAGTTAGATTTAGAGAATACTATCTGATCTATGGTACACCTGAAGTCACCTTATATTATACAAGGAGTCTGTGGTGTGTGCCAAGCAATCCTACTGGCAGTCAAGAAAGGGTGTAATTTAATGAAACAAACAAGGATAGGATGCTGTCACTTCAAAAAGGCCACAAATAGCTAATTTAGGGTTTTTTTTTTTTTTCTTTTCTAAAGATGAACAGCACCCACTCTGGGTTGGATTGACTTGATAAGATTCTGTGTTTCCTCTTTTCCAATTTCCTCTTCCACTTTTGCAAGAACACATTCTCAAGTCTCTTTAGAAACAGGCCATCAAAAGTAACTTCCACATCCATGAATACTTTAAAATGGCTTTGGCTGGCCCTTCCACTTGACTAGACAGTTTGGCTCTTCATAAAATCCTGGCTGGCAAACCATTTCCCAACAGAATCTTGAATATTTTACTTCACTATATTCTAGCATCCACTGTGACCGAAAAAAATTTAAGGTTGGTGTAATTCTTATTCTTTTGTAAGAAGACTTGTTTTCAGGGTCCCTGGGTGGCTCAGTGAGTTAAGCCTCTGCCTTCAGCTCAGGTCATGATTTCAGGTCCTGGGATCAAGCCCTGTGTCAAGCTCTCTGCTTGAAGACTGCTTCTCCTCACTCTCTGCCTGACTCTCTGCTTACTTGTGATCTCTCTCTCTCTCTCTCTCTCTGTGTCAAGTAAATAAATAAAATCTTAAAAAAAAAAAAAGACTTGTTTAACTGCCTGAAAACCTTTTAGGATCTTTTCTTCATCCCTGAATACTGAAATATCTTAAAAGGCCTTGATGTGGGTTTTGGGTTTTTCCCCCTATTCATTATACTAGGTATTTGGTGGGCTCTTCAAACTAAGACTCCTGGCTCTTTGGCTCTGGAAAATTCTCTTCTATCATTTCTTTAGAATTTCCTCTTTATTGTCTTTGCTCTTTTCCCAGAAATTATAATATCTGATGTGAGACAACTGCCCACTCCCCGATTAAACCTCTGTATTGTTCTTTCTTCAACCTTTCCCATCTTTTCCTTTATTTTCCCAGGGATAACATAAAATTGTCTTACTGGTCTCATCTTGAATGTTTTATTTTGGAAATCCCATTCTCCATTACCTTTTCGGCGTATATTATTCTACATAATGGGTCTTAATTCTCTTTGAGGATGCACAGAGGGTTTTTTTTTTTTTTTTAAGAAGTTTTTTACTAATCTCTAGGTGTCTTTGGAGCCAGGTTATTTCCTGGGGGCAAAGTATTTTTGTTTATCCTGGTCTCTCTTCCCTGTTGAAAGATTTTTTTTTAAACACCTGGTGATACTGAATTGTCTGTCCCAATTTAAAAAACACTAGAAACATGGGGAGTTCTCGCATACAGTGGGTGAATAGCAAGCTTCTCTTTGCAGTAAGTAGAAGGGATCTGATCATTATACTTTGGAACCCTTAAATGGCACAATATGGAGAGCTTTGCAATAAGGTTCCAGTGCACACTCTTGTTGCCCAATTCTCCCTGTCTTTTATCTGAAGGGGAAACAAATACCTGGATGCCAGACTTTCTACTCATGGCAGTGGGTTAGTCCTTTTATATAATTTTAAGCAATTCCCCCTTTTTAAGTACCGAGGCACATTCCTATCCTCCATGGTTCTGCAAACTGCAGGACAGAACAGCTCTTTCATTAGCTAAACTTTCTTTCACATATACTGGGCTTCCTCCATGACTAAATACTTTAAATACTTTCCAGCTTCTAGCAATGATTTCATATATCCTATTTATTACTGCCCCCCCCCCTACCATTCTTTTTATTTTTATCATTTCAGTGATGTCTTGAGAGGGGGAGGAAATAAAGACTTGTACCAAAATATATTTAAGATGTATGTATATCTTAAATAGGAAGTGACCTAGTCACTTCAAAGTTCAGTGAACTTGATTTTAAGATAATGAAACAAAATCACTTGAGAATTATATCAGTTTTATATCTAGGAAGAAATAAAATTTGAATACTATCTGCTCTAGCTTCCTATGCCAAAGTCAAAGAATACTATGAAAACAGCAAAGAATCATACTTACTGCATAAATGCAGGACTATTTTTGAATGACAAATTAGTTAAGAATATTTTGAAGTACTGATGTAGATAGGTCTCATTTGTAGTTTATTCAGATTAATTGTATGGCTATAAAATGTAAAAGACACAGAGTTCACATGAAAAAATAAAGATACCAAAAGATGAAACAGAAGTATACTCTGATTACTGAGATCTGGAATCAAGGATTTTGAGCTGGAAGAGACCTCAGATGATAATGCAGTCCAATTATTTAATTTTCCAGAAGTGAAAATAAAGACTGAGAGAGTTTCAATGTATAGAGCCAGTGAATGTCCTTTGCTAAACTAAAAGAAACAACTATTCAGTAAAAACGATCAAAGCTTGATGGAGAATATAACAATGTCTTTTCATCACTAAAGAGAAGAACTCTGTAAGAATTGAGTTAACATAAATGTAACTGAAATGCCCAAATGATATTCATACTTACTCATTACCCCAGTCCAGGCGTACGGTGATATGCCGCTTAACCTCCCGCACCTGATCCTGAGTAAGGTGACCAGACAGTAGCTGCCTTCGAAGGTCAATAAGTTCATTCATCACATGGCGTAGCTTGTAGAAAAGATCTACTTTGTGTTTCTGAAAGGGCATTTTTGGTGTTGGATGAAATGAAAAAGGGATATGGAAAGAGAATGAAAAAAGAAAGAGAAATAGTTAAACTATGAAAAGTGTTCATTTCTCTAAACTTCTAAAAAAGGCAATGTAAAGAGGAGCATATTTAAGAATCTTAAAACAAAGTCCTTAGTTTCTACTGTGTAAAAATCTCTATATAATGACATATAATGAGTAATATAATTGATCTGGATCATGCAAAGTACCATTTATCTCTACTCCATTCTGGACAATTCATTTTCCAGTAAATCAGAGTTACTAAATGTAAACAAACAGAAAGTTAAACAGGGACCTAGAGCTGTTTCCTCTATCAGAAGTTCCTATGTATAACATCTCTGATTTCTCTAAGAGGGATACTCAAGTTGGGGAGGGCAGAGAGAGAATCCCTTGCCCTACTTTGAAGGAACAAAGGTTTCAATAAAAAGCCACAGTCTCTGGAGTAACATTCACTCCAGGTTTCCAGGCCTCATCTAGTTTTAATTAGCTTTTGTAAACAATATGTGTCCCTAGTGTCACAGATGTCTACTCTTTTAAGTTTAATAAAAAGTGTCACCTTATAAGAGTTAAGTAGAAACATCTTAATGAACTTAATTATGGCTATCATAGGGGTTTCAAACTTTATAGGTAAAAAAATGTAAATGCCATGACAGTAGATGCTTGAGAAAAAAGATTTACTTAAGAATATAGATTTTAAAACTAAAGTCTTATTTTCACAAGTGCAATCTTGATTTATAAATGTTAGGTTTCTGTTTCTGTTATAGAGAAGCATGATTTTATATGATAATTAAAAGTCTTGGGATGTAATTTAATTATAAAGAATGCTCTTTGAGGTCAGATCAATGTCTACCATAGGGTTAGGAAAGCCTCTATCTGGAAATACCCCTAAAAAGACTCTTGCCAAAATAAGCTTAAGTGAAGTAAATATAAATAAAATTAATAATAAAGTAAACTACAAACTAGCAGAATTAGCTAATATTCTTAAGTGGCAGTGATCTTATAATTAAAACATTCAGGACACCATGCTACTTAGAAATCATCTAATGGAGCATGATTTTTAAAGGCCCATCTCACAGAGAAATTATTTTTAAGTAGAAGACCTTAGGAATCATGCACTCTAATGACATCATTTCAAATAGCATGCGGTCCTTTCTCCACTTGATGATCACACGGATAAAAGTTAAGTACCTTGATGGCACACAATGCTGGCAGAAGGGCAGAACTCACAAATTCTTGCCAGTTCAAGTAACAAGGCCTAAGCAAATTATATCATCTGGAAAATTGAGATCTTAAGGTAAGCAATAAAGGCAATGTGGTCTTTGCTTTCAGGACATGCATTTTTGATAAAACAGGGCCACCTATCTAAGTTTAAAATAGAAAGTTATTTTCCCATCAAATCATACACAGTAATCTATTGCATACACACATAAGCATTTATTCATTCACTTGATTTACAAATGCTTATGGAGCACCTGATGGGCGCTATCACTTTGTTGTGATCCAAAGATCCTACTTCTGTGGTTTCATTCTAGAGAGCAGAGATGGACCAGAGACAAATACATAATGGTGGTGTTAAGTTCCACAAAGAAAATTAAAACAGAGTGGGGTCAAAAGGTGGCCAGTTGTGGATTCGCTGGGGCAGGGGGAAGGTACTGCTTCAGGTAGGGTGGTCAGGGAAAGGCTTCTTTAGAAGTAGAACTTTAAGTAGGAACCTGAATGAAATAAGGGGACAGTATTTGGGAAAACTGGGGAGTTTATTACACTGCTAACTAACTGGAATTCAAATGAAAACTTGAAAAAAAAAGGGAAATTTTAGAGGCATAAGAAACAGCAAGAACAAATGCCCTGCTGTGGAAGTGAACTTGGCATGTTCATGGAAAACAGAGAGGTCAGTGCACCTGCAGCAAAGTGAACAAGGGGGGAGAGTGGTGGTGATTCAGTCAGAGAGACAACAGGGACCAGATTAGGCAGGACCTTTATGTAAGCCATGTGAAAGAGTTAGGCTTTCATTCCAAACAAGATAGGAAGGCACTGGAGATAGGGAGCAGAAGACTGATGTGATAGGACTTAAAGCTTGAAAGCATCACTCTGAGTGAAAATAGACCATGAAAAGCAAAGAGGAAAGCAGGGGTTCCAGTCAGAAAGCTATTTATTACAACAACCAACAGGATGACAGTTGATTAGAGAAAGGTAAGAATGGTAATGTAAAACTTTGAGGACTTGGAGATTAGACATGTTTTGTATGTAGAGCTGTTGGGACCTGCTAATGGATTAGATGTGGGATATGAATGGAGACAAGGATTACTCTTTTTTCCTGGCCTGGGGAACATGTCTGGAGGAGGGAAACAAGGTTCAATTTGGACATGCTAGGTTTAACATTGAGTTCCAACATTTACAGGCCAGGAAAGCGACGAGTATCTAGCACAGGAAACTAAGAAGGAAAAAGCAGTGAGATGACAGGAAAAGCAGTAGTGTATTGAATATAATAGAGTTTTAGGGAAGACTGTCAAATGCACTGAGAGGTTAAATAAAATCTCTATTTAATTTATTTATATTTATTACTGAGAGTTAGCCACTGTATCTGGCATTGTGGTGGCCATCCTTGACTTCTATAAGGGCAGTTTTTAATTCAAGAGTAATGGGAGAGAAGGGAATGGGAATAGAGTACAGACAGCTCTTTTGTAGAATTTTCGCTAACTGGAAGCACAGAAATGAGGTAGTAGAACAGTGTTGTGCAATCACGGGAGGTTTTTTTTTTTTAATGAGACAAAATTTCTGGCTATTTTTATGCTGAAGGGAATGATTTAATAAAGGGAAAAATTTGATGATGCAGGTGTTAAGTCCTTTAGTAGCCAAGAAGAGATGGGTCCCAGGTCAAAAGGGAGGCTCTGTTTAGGCTGAATAGTCTATATATTGTCCTAGAGGAAACACAAAGAATTCAGATAACGACACAGGCATTTGGGATATTGGGTGACAGGAGAACTAAATTTTTCCTCTGGGTGCCTTATTCTCAAGGAAATAAGAAGTAAGTTCATCAGCTGAGAGTGAATACGGTGGGAGGGGTTGTTGGAGATTTGAGAATAGAGAAGATGTAAAAACAGTTTCAGAGGGAGTAGTAACACAATCTCAGCAGGAGATAGGTAGTTCAACTGACAGATGGTTTTGAGATTTGTGAACACTAATTAAAAGTGTGGTTATGTGTATTTTTTAAAGCCAAGTGTAATGATGTATATTGATACCAAAATATAAGTATGTATGTAGGTATATGTATGTGTATGTATGTATATCTATGCACAAATACACACATGCACATACACAAAATATTTATGTAACATAGATATGCACACATATACAATAATGATGCCAGAATATACTAATATAGTCTTTTAAAGAATTAAACAGTCATTTATTAACCAAGAATTGTTAACAGATTATACTGTCTAAAGATGACTACAATTCCTCCCATGTACTATTCTGCAAAAATCTGACCCTCACACTCCTCCAGTATGAGATGGAATCTGTTTCTTCACACTTTTGAATCTGGGCAGTCCCTGGGAATGCTCTAACCTATCGAACACAAGCCCAGGGAGCTAAAGGTAGTGCTATAAGCAGTCCTTCACTTGTCTGGCAGCTTCAACCTCCTAACCCTTGGAATACACACTCTTTCTGGGAGGTTTGCTCTCAGAATCCAGCTATCCTGCTGTGAAAAGCAAATGCTGCATGGAGAGGCCACAAGGAGACACTCATTGGAGTGTAAGCCGTCCCAGCTGTATGAGTGAGGCATCTTAGCAGCTGTGCCTAGCCCAGTAGAACCTTCAGGGGACTGCAGCTCCTACCCAAATCTGACTGCAACAGAATGAGAAACCCTATGTGAAATCTACCCAACTGTGCTCATTCTATCCAAAGAAGAATGAAATATAATAAATAAGTGCTGTAAGCTACTAAGGTTTGGGATAGTATGTGATGTAGATAATCAGAAAAACTGTACAGTATTTTTTCAAAATAGAAAAATCAGTTATTATTTCTAATTATATGAAGCCGGGAATGCTAACCCTGAACTAAGAATGAAATGGGTCATAAAAGTATTCATTGTTTTTGTACCACACCCAGTGCTCCATGCAATCCGTGCCCTCTCTAATACCCACCACCTGGTTCCCCCAACCTCCCACCCCCCCACCTCTTCAAACCCTTCAGATTGTTTTTCAGAGTCCATAGTCTCTCATGGTTCACCTCCCCTTCCAATTTCCCCCAACTCCCTTCTAACTCCCCATGTCCTCCATGCTATTTCTTATGCTCCACAAAGAAGTGAAACCATATGATAATTGACTCTCTCTGCTTGACTTATTTCACTCAGCATAATCTCTTCCAGTCCCGTCCATGTTGCTACAAAAGTTGGGTATTCATCCTTTCTGATGGAGGCATAATACTCCATAGTGTATATGGACCACATCTTAAAAAAAATGATAAAAAAATAAATAAATTTAAAAAAAAGAATGAAATGGGTCACATAATTAGAAAGTAGAACAATTACTACAATCAATGTGGTGTTAATTTCTTTCTCCAGTCCAACCTAACAACCTCTTTGACCAGAGGCCTTAGCATTCAAGGTTGCTCCACCAGCGCCGCTATGACACCACACTACACTCTTGTATCTGCTACCAGCAGACACACACCAATCAAGGGGAGCAATCTGGAGCAACTGGCCGCAGAGCACACAATTTACCTAGGATCACCCGACACCACAGGATAGCTGAATGCCCCCCTCAGGCTGAACAATCCTATTCTATTGGGGATCCTGCTCCTCAGTAGATTAAAATAACAGTACAATTAGGTTGGTGGTAAGGTTTAGCTTTCCTGCACAATCATTCCTAGTTCCTGTCAAGCTAAAATAAAAGCAGGAAAACTTAAAAAGAAAAAGAACAAAAAGAAAAAAGAAATCTATAGTCCATCTTAGCAACATGCTCAGCCTC